GTTATGGTTGGGGGTCCCCACCACACGAGGAACTGTATGAAAGGGTCACGGCATTAGGAAGGTGGAGGGCCACTGCTAGCTAGTACTTCCATTCTCTGGGTCTCACTTTCCTCTTACAAAGTGGAAACCTGCCCTCACCCCCACATATCTCTGGACAAGGGGAAATAATTTTTTGAAGCAGAGTCTTTCTGCCTTACTTTCTTCTGGGAGAGATGAAGGGAGGGGAGGACTCCAGGAGCAGGGCCTCCCTTCCCTTGGAGAAACAGACCATGATGTGATCTAACATTATGTACTCACTTCCATGATGAGATATGGTATGAGCAGCCTACTGCTGCTGACCTGCTCTCCTGGAGTTCCAGGCCCTGTGATCCTGGTTTTTAGAAAAACGACAGGGGACAAGTACCCTATTTATTGATTCTTTCCATGGCCCCAGTTCTGTTGTATAGGAACTTGATTCTTGGCCTCTCAGAACCTGATACTCTTGGCCCTGGGCAGAAGGTTAAAGGCAGTCCACAGGGGCTTCATCCTGTTCTGATGCTGGGAAGGCCACTGACAAGGTCCACAGGCAGCCTGGGTGTACAACTGGCGGTCAGCCGGGTGATCTCCCTGAGCTGACCTGACGTGGCTTGTTTTTCCCATAACCATCTTCAGAGTTCTTCTCATGATGATGTTCCAGAGCAGGACCAACTTTTAGATGTTCTCTCTTGATAGAATCCCCTCCCCATGACCCAACCGCGCCCCCCTCCCAGTTCTACTGCTTTTCTAATGCAAATCTGGACATCTGGCCAGTCTCAGCTGTCTTATTCTTTGAGAAAAGGCCTCTATAGGTTGCTGTATCATTCAATGTCCACACTGCTCCCGCCCAAGTCCCTCTCTGTCTCCTCAAGCTCACTTGTGAAACCCTGGAAAGACTATACAGCCCTGTTGTGCGCAGGAGTGACCTGCTTCAGGTAGCAAAATGAAGACTGAGGGGCAGTTTCACTTTGAATGGAGACTTACAAGTTAGCGGGCGCCTCTATGCCTTTTATCCTCAGTCAGCCACTGGAAAGATCCCTGATGGGAACCACTCGGCCCAGCTGGTCCTGGGGTGAAGATGGCAGGGAGGGGTTGCAGCTGACCCACCATGAACATGTGAGGTGAGCAAGGTAGAAACCTTTTGTGACTGTGAGCCCCGGGGAGTTTAAGGACTGAGTCTAAACTGGGACCCCCTCGGCAGTGCAAACCCTGGGGCTGGCACAGCAGGCCCAAGGCAGTAAGGAGTACACCTATCTCGTCTGTTCCTTGGTCTTAGAGCTCGTGTGTCCTGAAGGCCTGGTGCTGGGATCTTTGAACTTGATCCTATGTCACTGCCACCCTGTAGTTCTAGTCTAATAGTCTAACTGGTTCTGTTCTAGCTGCCCCACACTCATGGAGTCTCTGGCTTGAGAAACTACCTGTAGATATGAATTCTTATTTCCCAGCAACGGACACAGCTCACCCAAGAGCCATCAATGATCTCATTTTTAAACATCCACATTGCTTGGAAGTTGGATGCATGATAATATAAAATTATTTTATTAAAATAGAAAAGTTTTCCAGTATATTGCATTGATACATTTATACAGAAAAAAAAATTGCAACAAACATGCTATATCAGCATTGAGATAATTTGGAACCTTTAAGTGCCCACTTTGCAACAACGTTTTGGTATAATCAGCATCTCACCATGTATTTCAGAAGGTACATATTATAATACTGAAAAAAACACTTCATGTAAAATCTAAGTTCAGGTGCATACAAACAAGAAGTATTACATTGAATAGCTTATTTCAAACTGTGAAACATTCAAAGTATTTAAGTTCTTCGACAACATGCAACCATTTTAATACTTAAATTGGCACTTTTAAATATATAAATCATAATTCTTTATAATTCTATATAAAAACGTCTGACAGAACACTTATCTACATTGTGCATATCACAAAAAGCAAATGTGTCTTTATGAACGGAAAGGACTGTGTTAACACACGTGATTGTCGTTTTACAAATATGGCTATTCACCTTCCTCATAAGAAAATAGAAAAGTCATGTATTATTTACATGAACTACAATGATTTTATTTTGGAGGGGGCTCTGTATATAAGTAGCAGCAATTGGTTTAAAGACTGACGCTTAAAAACTCTTAACTTCAACTCGGATGAATACCTAAGAATAGATATATTTGCCTAATAAAAAAATTGCATAATGCGCAATGCTTTGAGGCAGCGAAACTGCTCCCTGTCCTGAAAGTCACCGGGTGGCACACATCGTGAGTCCCCGAGAACACAGAACTACGTGGGCGCTTCTGACGCTGCTCCTTTCTGATGGATGCGAGAGGGGAGGGAGGTTCCTGAATGGCGGATTTGTAACTACAGTCGGACCGATGGTACTTGCAACGATGCTCTTCATTTCCTACTCCAATCGCAGCAGCCCCTCGCTTCTGGATCGAGTAGGTAATTTCCTGTAACCAGACACAAACACCCAGGGGAACCTTCATACTGACAGAAACGGAAATGGGGTTTCTGTGGCCTGAACCCCTTCATGAAGTCAGCTAGCTTCCTAGCCGGTGAACAAAGGCCTCGTGCCTCGGTGGCCCTGACTTTCTTTCCGGGCAGAGGGCCCAGCCAATGGGTCCACGGGAGACGCTGGTGCTTGGAAGGATGCAATGTCACATTGGCCGAACCCCGATCCACTCCGACCCCATGAACACTGGGAGAAACACTGTGCGGTGCTCAGAGGTGACGTGTGCGCTTCCTTGGCCACGGGGCTCAGCCACACCCCGGCAGTCCTGAAGGCCTTCGCCAGCAGAAAAGTTTGGGTGAGAGGCATTCTGCACCCTCCGTGGGCACTCAGTTGTGTCTCCAGAGCGAGGGCAAGGCCAGCGCCAGGCTGCAGAGGAGGAGGAGGCGGGCGCCGTGCGGAGGTCTGGCGCGGGGGCTGGCCGATGGCACGCTGCTGGAGACCTGCACCTGGGAGATGATGAGGGCAGACAGAGGCACATGGGACGCCAGGGTCGGGCTGTCGGAATTGATGAGGGATTCAATCTTCTCTGCTTCTTTGTTGCACGCCTCAATCTGGGAGGGAAAGCAGAGTCTCTTAATCCAAGGTGCCTAAAAAGTCCGCGGCATCCACCCACACACAGCCCTGGCCCGGAGGGAGGAGAGGCTTTCTCTTCCTTCTTCTTTTCTTTGCCACAGGAAGTCTCTTTAGTACCTGAGTTCCAGCAGCATTAGTGGAAACCACGCCAGCCATGATGCACAGTGCCACAGCTCTAATCAGACAGCTGGTTTCCTCTTTCCCCACCCGCTTCACTTCTGAACCACACCCAGAGGCTGGCTGTGCCTGGCTAAACAGAGTTGCCTGGGACGCACGAGCAGAGCAGCAGCTGTTGAAAGGAGTAGCCGTGATGCGGTTTGTGATGGCACTGCTACCCCACCGTCCTTATGCCTTTCAGTGGAGGCCTCACCCCCGTGGTGCTGAACCTGGGCCCCTGTGGATGAGGCCACGCACCTCGACACTGGGAGGGAGGAAGCCGCAGCTAACTCAGTGAGGTTTTCCTCTGCAGTGGGGCACGGCCCTCGGGAGACCCGGGTCTGCTCCGGGGCACTGCTCTGGTCCTGCTGGGTTCATTCCTGGTTGGGGAAGAGCCACTAGAGCAGGCCGGAGTTTTAAAGATCTGGGTGAACTAGGTTTGGGGCTTTCTATTCCTGTAAAGAGTGACTTATTGTCTCAGAAACTCACAGGAGCAGTTCTGCCCTGTCCTATAGGGGCACCGTGAGTTGGAACCAACTAGATGGAAGAGAGAGAGAGAGAGAGAGAGAGAGAGAAACACAAACTGGAGTGGGAAACATTAGGGGTCGCAGCCCTGCTAGAAGCTTCTTCTTAGGACAGACCTGCTGCAGAGCAACCACAGACTTGGGAACCGTGGGGCCGGCTCAATGACAGCAGCCCCCAGCACTGTGTCGCCCTCAGCAGCTCCTCAACAATCCAGTTTCCCACTTCAGGATCCCGAAGGGGCTCTTCCAAGTGTCCCATTCCAGGACCCCCCAGTCCGGTTACCGCTCCTGTTCACCCACATTAAAGACATTCAGGTCCCTTCCAGGCTCAACGCGTGCGCCATGATCAAGCAGGCTGAAACGGGTTCTGAGCCCTGGTCTGTTCGCTCATTGCATAACAGGCCTCAGCGGCACACGCAGCCTGGATGGAGCCCAGGGCTCCTGTCCCGCTTCCTTTCATGGCTGCACAGACAGCGCCACAGTCTCCTAACGCGATTCCCTCCCTTCTTCACGGTCTGCTGTCCACCTCGTCCCAGGCACGTTTCTTGTGCAGCCGCTCTGGCCGGCCCAGGCTGCTCCCTCCTGCCCCACCCGGTTGGCAAGACAGCTCCCCCAAGGTCCCGCTTTGTGCTGAGCCCCCCTCTGAAGGTCACCCAAACGGAAAAGGTTACCTTACAGTGTGCTGGGCCCTACCTGTAGAGCTTTGGGGTAATGATCGACCGGAATGATCAGGATCACAATTTCAGATTCAATGCTGAAGTACCCAAACACATCGCACTGTGGGACAGACACGTGCATGCGGATTTTCTGAAGTATTTCCAGAATCGTTATTGGCTTTTTGCTTGTTACCTGGGAAGAGAAAAGCATTCTATTACCCTCCTTGCAAAACAAAAGAATTCTTGATGACTGCCAAGCTGCCTTGCCTTAGGCTGCCAGCCAAGGAGACTTTGAACCAAGCAACCTCAACAGGGTTCTGCTAGTGAATTCTCTCTCCAGAGCCCACCACAGCGGGTTTGTCCAGACTGGAGACCTTGGTAGCCAACGTCAATGCCCTCACCCAAAGCACTGTCCTTCTAAGGGAGTCGTCTGGGCTGGGGGTCATGGGTAGATTATCAAAGCCTTTCTGCAAAGATGCAGGTTTTAATAAAAACGGGGATCATTATCCAGGGTCGGGTGCTGGCTGCTACATTTCTGAAGTCCTGTCTCCCCACAGCGAGCAGCAGGAGTCATGGGAACTGGGAAAGCTAACCCAGGAAGGCTCTGCAGTTCCCCTCGGGAGGAGTGGCGCTGAGTGTGAGGGGAAGCAGCCCTGAGCTCATTGCAGGCATCGCTGGCAGCCATGCTCACTGCCAGCAGGGGACCTTCTCCAGGAAAGGCTTTGGGTGACCGATGTGGACCAGGTCACCACACAGTCGAAGTGGAGAGAAAGGAAGCACAGGGCTGCCAGTCAGGCGCCTGGGGGCCAAACCCTAATTCTGATGATAAGCTCTCTGGCCTGGGCTAGTTGCTCCTCTGAGCATTAGGTCTTCCCCTGTCTATTCTGTGACACGACAGGGACGGTGGTGCAGGCGCTGGTAGACCAGGCGGTTTACCTTAGCAATAGCGTCCAGCTTCTCCCTGTCGAATAGGACGCGCAGCATGCCGGCACATAAGGGGCAACAGGCTCCTGGGGAACAGAACCAGTTTGTGCGTGTTCAGAATTGGAAACAGAGGATTCAGAATAGTTGGTGACACGACCAGTCTCTCGTTTTGTGCTATGACTGTGGAAGGACGCCTGCACATGCAGGGAGGTCCCTGGCCAACCCGGGTGCGTGGTTGATACAGGTTCCCCGGCCTGTCCTCGCTCTTTCCACGGAGGAGGCCGCCGAGCGGTCAGGCAGCAGGACACAGCCTGGACTTTTGGGAGGTGAGGGGCTTGGCCTGGCTCAACCTCAAAACTCGCTGGTGTGCCTGGGCAGTGCTGCCTGGGTCTCCCTTCTTTCTGCACAGTGAGGGAGCTGGTTTCAGGGGATTCCCAGGTGCCTGATTCAAATATAATCTTAAAATGATTTTAAACCGTTAGAACTGTACTATTTGAGCATTAGAGTGATCAGTGATTGATACATTAGCAACCTCCCCATCCAGCCCCACCTGTCCCCCTTCAGCCCACTTTGTCTTGCTCCGTGCCACCTGACTCGACATGAGTCTGTAACCGGTGTTTGGTCTCTCTCCTCCCTCAGGTCTCCGGGACAGAGGCTTGTTCTGCTCACTGTGCATCCCCAGTGCCTAGAAACGTGTCTGCCATGGCTTGGAGGCTCAACAGTGACTCCATGAATTGATGGATGGAGGGATGCACTCGGCAGGGGGCTAATCCAGTCTGTGCAGACTCGCACAAAGGCTCACTGCCCCGAACAAATGTGAACTTTTGTTCTTGACAAAACTGCCACTTACAATGACAGTCTGTATGACACAAGGCTTTCTGGACTGTGGACAACCAAAACCACGGCCCTAGAGGCTGAGGCTAATCTAAGACACAAATCACTCATTCGTTCTCCATTACCTTTTGACAAGCAAACACATCCCTGTGCGCCCAGAATCACACTTTGCTGCGTAAGCCCTTCTGCATCTGTCCACAGATGGATGCTTGACGCAAGAGTTCATCTGAAAACAGTTTGCCAAGCTGTGTTCCTCCCCCCAGACCAGATGACGTCCAGGAGCCTACCCGGGGGGATGACGGGTTTGCACCCGGTCCCTGAGAGCGGAGGACACTTCACAGCAGCACACTCGGCAAGAGAACCGTACTCCGCGAGGACCCCGACGGCCTGGCAGGGTCCGTGGTAATCGACGGCCACCCGGTCCGAGTAGGCAGCACACACACTGCTGTAGGTCTCGCCGTTGTGCCCGCACACGGGCTCCGCAGCTCTGCAGAAGGACTGGGCAAACAAAGCGCAGTGAGCCTGGAAACGTCCATGGCGCACTTCTAAGCGAGCCTTCAGAAAACAAGCTCCAGGGACCCTCGTCAGCTGCTGAGATGGGCTGAGGGGAGCATCCAGGAATACCCCAGCATGAGTTGAAGAGGTAACTTTTCCAGCCCCCCTGGGACTTGGGTGCTTATCTGTGAGAACGGGTATGAGATAAACACTTCTGTGAGTGGAAGAGAACAAGACGTCTCTTCATGCAGGGGTGCAGGTGGCACTGCCACCACAGGCTGGGTATAGGGTGAGAGGACTCCCAGAGCAGGGAGAAGATCAACAGATAGGGCCCATCTGCTGGGTTAGGAAATGTCAGCGACCAATCACTGCCAGAAAGGGGGAGCAAGGAGGAGGAAGAGACGGAGAATTCAGAGTAGAAAGTCCAGTCAGGACTGAAGCTACGAGGGAAAATAAGTCGGGAAAAGACAGGCTGAAAGGACTTTTCTGACCACGAAGACCAGGGAGTGAGAAGCAGTCTTCTCAGCGCTAGCTGGTGGAAGGCAGGGGATTCTGGGCCCAAAGATGAGAAATCCCTCCTGGAGAAAGGCCAGCACACAAGGCAGGGTGCCCGTGGGAAGTCCCCCGTGGGAGCTGTCCTCAGGGTTGCTGAAGGCAGATTCAACAGCCCCAAGAGAGAGAGAATGCGCCAGTGTGAAACGACACTGCATCCTAGAGAAACGCTGAATGACTTGTCAGTGCTGTGGAAAGTGTGAATGTGGTCGGAGGAACGGACAAAGAACCCCTCTCCTGGTTGTCTTAACTCACTTTCTTCCTGATTGGTTTTCTCGTGCGTAACTGCAGAGCCAGGGGGAGCGAAAATGGTGCTGAGGGGACCTATGGATGTGGGACTGGACGTTTTTTCCTAGGCGTGGTCTGCACAAAGCCACTCCCTCGCACACAGTAGCAAGACAGCCCTGGCAACTGGGGGACAGAGCCAGCCTGGGGACGGTTCCTTTGCAGTGGAGGCTGAGCTCTGCAGACTTAGGGTGAGTCACCTGTGAACGCTCACAATCTTACGGGAGGGCGCTTGGGCTCGTCGTACCCGGCACAGGCCTTTGTAAGACAGCCTCTTTCCTCGCTGGTACAGAGTGCAGAGATTGTTGTGCTCCGTGTGGTCGGTGTCACAGACAGGATCGCGGGCCTGGTCACAGGTGAACTGTCGTGGCACACACTCGTATTGGTTGCATCCAAATTTGTCCAAAGTTGTCAGGCAGACCTGTGGCTTCGGTATGCATCTGCAAAACACCAACGTAGCACCATGTGCCCTTGGAGGGAGCGGGCTGTGGTGGGGCCAGCCAAGCCCTGCGCTTGGAAGCAGGGGACAGATCGGAAACAGCAGGGAGTCCAGCACTCAGCCGAAGTGGATTACCAGGTAGACAAAGACACGCAGACTTCAGTCACCCTGCACGGTGGGCTGGGGAGAGCATCCTGGAGGAGGTGGTGGTCTAGCTGGGAGTAGAGGGTAAGGAGCATGCAGGACGAGCAAATGGGGTGCGAGTGACCCCCCAGGGCAAGAGCAAAGGATGCAGGTCACGGAAGTAGCTGGAGATGAGGCCATTCAGGTGGGCTGGGCTCCAGGGATGGGGGCCTTGCAGTCAGGAAGGAAGGACACATCTGCAGATGTTTAATTAATGAGGTTCTGTTACGCAGCCTTGGCGATCGTGCAAATGGCTACGCACCCGGCTGAAAACCGTAAAGCTGGTGCTTCAAGCCCACCCTGCAACTCTCCAGGGAAAGGCCTGCAACTGACTGTCGTAAAAC